CTTTAATGCAGACTAGGCGTTGTCGGAGTAAAAAAAAGCCCTACACAATACGCAGGTGCCTGTTTTGATTACCGGCAATTCGGACCCAGTTTCTCAGAACTTCTTGTATATTTTTATATACAAATCTCTACCGATTTCGGGAATTTTGTTATTAATTCTAAGCATTCATAACGGCTAATATTAATTCACTCATCTGCATCAGCCATTTCGTTAATTGTTTCACGGGACCTCATTGCATAGCTCTAAGCTATTCATTTGGTTCTATTCGAATATTTCTCTTCTTTATTTTAAATACCTGTCACGGTAAATAGTAATGTACCTACCGTAAGCACTCCATCAACTGTTTCATATGTGCTTTAGAATTATCCAAAAAAAAAGTGACTCAAGTCTGTTTTTCGCCAATGGGCAGTTGCATGACTATACTGATGGAAACTTAAATGACGTTTTTGAAAACTAATGTAGATATGGCCAAATCGCGCACCCAAAATAGTAATACATTGTGTAACTCATCGTGCTGCGTAGTGACACACTCACTTGACGAAACGCCGTTTTGAGAGTTCTTGCTGCTTTGACTTTAGTCAAGTTTAATCAAATTTCCGCATATCTCTAAATGCGACATATCCTCTTCCTTGTTTCCCGTTGCAAATAATGCACAACAATACCATTGTTTGCCATGGTTTCCGCTTACGAAGTCGAGCTTCTGACGTATAGAATAATCATGCGAAATATAGCACCTAGTTTTGAGCAAAGAACGCTCATACTTTTTTTTTAAAAACTATATCTTCTGATTTTTATCAGCTTTTTTCTTTATACAGGTCCATCTGTGACCATTATGATCTCGAGGAGCACTGACTATAGATTTTTCATTATTACTGCATTTGATAGTCTTAAACACAATGACACAATATTCCGAAATTTTTACCTGTTTTATCGTCCATATGGTGTATATATACGTTTACGTACCACGTAAGTTTCCTCATTCATCCTAGACCGTCTCTTATTTGTTTTGTTATGTTATTTTTTTTGTCTATTTGCTTATTCTCTCACCTTACCAATAAGCTTAATATTACCTTAAATTTGATCCCTCTCCATCTGGCCTGTATAACGTACATATAAAAGAACGTGCGCAGTACACGCGCACAGCTCACAACTGTGACTTTAAAATAGTTTCTTTATATAAATTCAGTAGGCTAGGTACACCTTAATCTGTCACCAGTATCATTACACTAATTGCAGGAGCTTGCTTGAGCTCCACGCTCAGTCTAGTTTCATATTAATGATAAGCTAAGGCGTGCTTCACACAAAGCATTTAGCATACCATAAACATCTTTTAGCTCGTTTTCTATTATAAATATTATCATAGTCTATCACCGCGTTTTGGTCCACTTGCAAGTTATTACATTTAGAAATATAACAACCTTTTACCAGCATTAAGTACTGTTACAATAAATTTCAGTTATTAAGTTCCGTTGAAATAATAACTTTAAGCCTCAGATATCAAATTTCCGCAGTATTGTGGCCTTCGCAAAACAAAAACTTGATTGTTCAGCCTTGTTTTCACGACAACAAACCTTTTCCCCTCTGAACTCATTTTTTTTAGAGTAAATTCAGCCGATCTCCACTCACACGTTTTTAGGAGATTGGAATAATTGTCAACCGAATTTCATCTACTAATGGCGCGTAGTTCAAGAATTATTCAATTTCAAAATCATCTTATTCGCTTTTAGAAGCCTTATACATACTTGCTAAACCTCACATTAACATAAGTGCAGAAACAGTATAGGTAATCGGATATTCTCCTAAGAAATGAAGGGTTCATTGTAAACATCCTCGACTATCAGCTAGCTCTGCCCTCATGCACTTCAGCTTTGTCTTGCTAGTAATTCTCGACACGAGACCATGCCAATAATACAATCAATTATTATTAGTTACTTTTATAAAAATTATGACATTTTAGGCGTGCTTGCAATTATCCATATTAAATCTAAGAAAAACAGCATCTTTCGGATATCATTCACGGAACCCTTTGATACAAGAGAAAAAAAATGAGGTTTTGTCAAGCTGTGATTCGTAAGAAGCTCCTTATAACACTATTTGCTTTCACTATAGATAGAGGAGCATTAGATGCGTTTTCCTTCATGATTCCAAATGAGTGTTGCTACCATGTTTAACGAGTACATTGAGGTAAAACTTTGATTGAGGGTGAGAAAGTAACCAGTTTTAAAACATTCTTTTAATCTGTATTTACTAAGTATTAATGAAACTATGGCTTACCACAATTATTTGTTTCAAAGACCTGTGGCGGATAAGGCAACCAAATACTACCATCGTATAAAAATAGTATTCAGTTATAATCTTTCCTCTGATCCAGTTTAACTACCTTGCTTCCTGCTACACGCGGGATACATTCTTTGGTATCATCAAAGCTATGTCAAGTAACCGATTATTAGATTTGTAATCAAACAATATATCTGTTGGTCATTTCCATTCCACTTATATTACAGAAATCTATATTAAATGAAAAAATACCTCCAAGTGGTATGTATGATATTCTTCAGCACTACGCTATTTTTAAGCCATATTGTTCTTTATGATCCAAGAGGATACGTATTAGCTTGTTGCCACAACACTTGGATTACCCTAATGGGCCTAAATGCATATAGGGCATCCTTTTGTAATTAAGCAAGCGCGTTCTCCTCTTCTAGAAAACCTTTTTGTTAAGTTAACGCCGTTCGTCAGCATCCTTTTCTCAACGAAAGTGTTGTAAAGTGGTCATTGAGCATTTCGTTGCCAGTTCTTCCTGTATATATATACAGGATAATTAGTTTAAATTGGGAGATTTTCTAATTAGCCATTGCGAAGATTATATCTAAACAAAAACAAACAGTTTTAGCAAAATCTTTTGTACGTACAAAGAATAATTTCTGACGGTCATGTTTATTCAAGTAAATTTCCCTTCGCTTGGATCACAGAATTAATTCAAGGCCTGAATTGCTCATAGATTTATGTTCAAATATTCCCTTTGGGTTATGCGAACGCTTTTTTGAAAGCACAAGTCACTAAGTCGACGCTGTCTTGTCAAGATTTGTTTGATTCTCGTTCAGTTATACTCTCTATATAGTAATCCAACGGGTTCAAATAACGGCTATACGGCTGCTATGTATGCCAATTCCAAAACATGTTTAAATTCTCAAGCAGATAACCCGACACATTATAGTTATTCACAGTCATACAACAATTTGTAAAACATGCAGGTGAACTTCTTTGGCAGTGGTTTCGCCTTTCTGGAAAAAATATGGTTGCATAACGTTTCCTTCATAGGACACCATACTCAAAACATGAGTACGAACTTTGACGGGAATATGGGTTTACCCACAGTAAGCACATCCGCTGGAGCATCAGCAAGCCAACGATTTTTTGTGCGCTTGATTTTTCATCGATGATAAACATTTTTTTTTGTCAGAGAAAAAGTGCAACTTGCTGCTTCACTTTTAAGAGAATTAGCGAGAAATGAGGCCAACGATATCTAATTGGCCCCAGAGAGTACTTGTCTAACTTTTATGACGCACGTCGTGTACCTGAGGTTTTCGGGGAAAATCAGTAACATGGTAGATAAATGGACATGGAATTTCTTCGTTGACGATCTGATCGGAAGAAAAGGATCAGCAGAAATCCTTTTTGAGACGGCATGGTTTAACTTCAGACCATTTCTAGCCCGTCATGAATTTCTAGTTGTGCTACGCGGACTTGCTTTCGACAGTTGCAAACCATTTGCGATGGGGTGCATTGTTGATCCGGAGTAGCCATTGATGTTTATAATTTTGGCGGAGGTTCGTCTCACGTGAACATAAAAGGAATTCAATAATACTTCATCTTCGTTCAAACTGCAAAAACAACGTATCTTTTCTAATATGGCTGCAACGTTGTTTACATCCTTCTTGAAACGAGCTTTCTTCCAATAGAACTGGTTTTCAATAAACGCGTTTATGTAACTGCGCGCAACCAGTCGAAAACAGTCCCGGCTTAAGCCTTGCACATGTATATATACAATAACACATAAAATAAAATTTTCAGCGTTCCTCAAACGTACAGCGTGTGACTGTCGCTTAAGCGTTTCTGAAATACCAATAAATGCCTCCGTGTCATTATTTCTTTAAAATCTTCAGTTACAAATAGATAATTTTTATTCATGCCTGATTCTGAGAAATTTGTACATCTCACATATAACGGCTCTAATAATTTTTGTAGTTATTTGTGTGGTAGCTTAGCTTGACGAGAAAACTATAATAATATCATAGGCAAAAATCGAGCTTGCGCTTATAGATTTGAAATAAATCCACATACCTTCTAATATTACCTGCTGCGCTTTCTCACAACAGACTATCAGCATAAGTACAGTTATTAGACGCGGCAAATTGAATCAAGACATATTTCATCTAGCTGTGAATTACTCATTCATTTAGTGTATATACAAGGCACACACCTAACTCCATACGTTCTACGCAAAATTCTAAAAGCTTTAAAAATATTGTATTTTAAGGTATATTTATGAACACACGAGTTAATGATATGAAACAACAATGAACAATGTATTTAACATACAATACCAGCATAGCTATGTACTTAGACTACACCTGAAAACAATTAGATTTAACCATCAGATTTTTATCATTAATACAAATGATACATTCATTTAATCTAAATACAAAACATTTTTTAAAAAGCTTGTTTTTAAATATTAGAATTTGCATCTACACAAATACAATAATTTCAGCTCAAAGCAAGTACATTGGTATCTCTAAACCACTGGAAGTACTGGTTTCATTTTGAATCGCTTCTGCAGGTGATATTCGTAACATCACCATGAACTAATCACGCTGATTCGCCATGTATCTGTACTCCGCAATTTTGTCCATTGCATACGCTTCAAGCGCCCAATAGTTTGAGACCGTCAGGGGTTACGGCGGCCGCGCCTTGGCGAGACGCGATCTGATACTTACATCGCTAGATTCGTTGGTGTTCGGATCATGAATGTTTGCCTCCGTATCGTGAGGCTGCGGCCCCACCAAGATCAATTCGTGATTTGAGGATGCCATCGCGTCGATTTGGTCGTCCGTTTTTTTATTGCCCACCACTGTCCTTCCAGATGAATTCAAGCGACAAACCAATGGCAAACGTCACACTCCGCACCCACAGACAAGTTCATATACGTATGCGCTAGCAAGCACCAAATACAAATATACTATTGGGGTGCGCGGGTAAGGACTATAAGCTATCGAATAATGAGTTGATAATAGTTTAGGACCTTATGACAGCAGCGCTAACAACTGCATTGGTAACACCACAAAACATAACAACAAGCCGAAACTGGTTTATTTATTGTTTCTGCTCATTTATTCGACGGAAAGCGTACGTTTTACTTGCCGGAACGCGGGAGATCCAAATTCAACAGCGCCATGTGAATTCTTGCAAGTAGAGGTGAAACGCTCACAACAAGTAATTACAAGCAAAAAAAACGATTGATTAGAAGGTGTAAATCATGCTCAAAACGATGAGTTACGGAAGTTGTAGATGTCTCAAAGAATTTTCAACTAATGTTTTAAACCAAAACAATGTCAATAAAGAAAAAATTGAAAAAAAAGGATGCCCTTTTTAATAATTTTGTTTTGAGCGTTATTAAGATCTATTTACACCTGTTATTATTAAGTTATTAGGACCTACATTTATTTCGTATAATGTAATACAATATAGTCTTCTCTATACAAAAAATTACAGAGTGGTTACAATACAATGGCAAAAGGCGAACTCTAATGTGTTACCCACCATAGGCAAATGGTCAATAGTACTATTGCTTCGCAGCACTAATGGACATACCATTGTGCAGATTATTTTTATTAATTTAAGTAAAGTTTGTCTCTGTAATTGCGTAGTAGGTAACATATTTGCTCGTTAAACTTAGCGACACGTGGTGGTCTAGATTTGAATCCAAGTATAGACGCACTTCTTTGTGTACAGTGTCATCCAGATTAGCGCTGTTTGGTGTAAAATAATAGGTCATTGTGCTTTTTTTCCGACGATGCAACTGTAGTCATTGACCAATCGAATAAGGCCACCCAAAAATTTTACGCATGATCAAGCGCCTCAGGGTAGCTCCGCACCCGAGCCAAAGATCTCAAAGAAAGGAGTAAAACTTTCTTTTTTTTTGTCTTCTAGTGTTCACACATGTGAAGACATTGGCACATGTATGATCACCGCACATAATTCAAGCACCTGACTTCGTCTTCGTGCATTCGAAACGTAAATTATTCGAGATGTAATTTTTGTGCTTTTGTATCTATAAATGAATTCATAATGATATTACGAAACGATCTCTCGGAAAGGCAGCGGATTCTAATAGCCAGACTGATACAGGTAAACCGATTGTGGAGAGAAACTATTCAAGATTGGAATATTAGGTGCAGTTGACAGTGTAACCGCAAAGGTGAGGTATAAAGAACATCTGTCATCAGGAAAATAGAAAACGAAAGTCGAAAGCGTTGAACAATGCAGCGACGAAACAGAATCAAACTACTTGCTTTACAGGAAACCCCTTTTTGGGAAATTTCTCAAATATGGGATTAAATACTGCCCCCCCCCCCCCCGCCCCACAGCTGGGTTCGAGACAACATGATCTATCAATATGCCTTCTATAGTAATATGAACTCTTGAGCAAAAGGATGAGAGTTGTCGACAATCGAGCGGGCAGTCTTTTTCTTCAAATGACCATATGTTTTAAAAAACTGAAGATACCTCCCCTTCCTCAAAATATTTTGTAAACATAAAAGCAAAGACTAGGTATCTACGTCGGCCAATTCCCCCCGGATGACTGAAGGCAGGCTTTAAGGAGTGCTAAGCAGTGGCCTTAAAGATATTCATGGCTGCGCTACGAGACCCCTGTGATGGATAACTTTAAGAAAGGATCAAAGCCATAGAGCAGTGTGAAAACAGAATCAGGGATCTATTCTCTGACTAAGAGGTTGAGCTATACGCGTATTTAGTGATAAAAGACGTCACATACTATCTGCTCTTCGTTAGCGTTTCCACAATCAACCTTGTTAAAAAAAAAAAGGTTGTCAGAAGTGAGGCTCAATCTTTAATCAAGACTGTTAAGTTCTTTGAACACTCGTTTAGGAGCAAAGACGATGACGCTGAGGCCTATAAACTTGGTGAGCAGTACCTCTATGCATGAGTTGTTTCAGGAACAACTTATTGTGATTTGAGATAGTTGAGAAGTATCGTCGCTTTTTCCATATCGTTAGTCGTCCGTTAATCACCGGTTGCCAGAAATGCAGTTCCACTACATATGCCGAGCTATTTATTCGCATATAGGAAGAAATCTTAGAATATGTTATGCAGAGCTATGACCTCGTGAGGCCTCGCGAAAGGCATGCTGTACGCTGAACTTGTCTAAACAAGTGGCATAGGAAAAGTCTGAGGAAAATAAATAATTAATAGAGAACTAACTCGATATATATAACTCGATATGGATCATTCTGGCGTGCGGAAGACAAGATGTTTTAAAAGTTAAGAAGCTTTCGGCACTGATCCTCTGCTTCTGCTATTGAGTCGAAGACGAGATACCCGCTTGTGCTAGTTAGAGTCTTCTCTATACTATCAAAGCCAGTTTTGTACTAGTTGGGTTGCGGCAGTCGATTGAAGTCAAAATTTAGGTTAACGATTTCAAAGGTTAAAAAGTCAAAGGCGAATTGATTAACGAAGCCGCGGTCAATTCGCTTTATTTATGAGTACTAGATCAAGGATAGGGCAACTTTTGGATTTGTTGGTCCTTGTGAAAGATTAATGAAATAACTTAGTAAGCAAAAATTTAGAAAAATACTCTTCCCAAAGGAGCTGGTATGGACGATGTTGGCAGTTTTTATTCAGTGCCCGACAGGTGAAAATTGCGGCTTAGAGTCAGAGCGGTCTGTGATTCACACGGTCCACCTAGAGATTTCCGTGATTGCAGCCCGCTGCGTAGTCAAAATCGTATATAGTTTTAGAAAGACAAGCAACGATAGGCAGTATTGGCAACTGTGCCGGTAGGTGAAAAACAGGTACAGGGTGTCTTCTCCCAGTTATGGCGTAACGGATAGCATGTTTGCCTGCTAAGTCTGGGCTTGAATCCAAGTGTGGGCACAGTTTGTGTCGTGCTGGGAACCAGCTGTCTGATGAAATGCCTGACTGTGACATCGGATGTAAAACTCGAAACTTTTAGCTTTAGAGATAGATTGATTTGGAATGTTTAATCGTGCCAAAAGCGGTATCGGTAGTAACTACTCCAATTATTGTGCTAGTGATATTGATTTTACAAGTCGTAATATGATTGCGTACCAAAAGCATGTAGCTCCATCCCCTTTATTAGATGCAGAGAGCTTTGTAAATGTTGCTAAGCGATAGTTCGGCAGATGGTAGTTTACTGCTGATACCTAAAGCAATTTATAAAACAGGCAGCGCTTGCACACCGCATCATAGGCTACGGCTTCTTCAAGAAGAGTATAATTAAGGGAACGCATTTATTATCTGCATGTGAAGTAGAATTTTTTGGACTAAACTGATATAATTTGACCCGATTTAGTTCGAGCAAAAAATGCACTCGCACAATATTAAGTTTCTTTTATATCCATACTGCTATAGGCAACTTTTGCAACACGATTCGAGATAATAATTGCATTTAACGATCACTACGCCAACGAGCAGCTCCAGTTCTCTTAAATCAATACATAACTTTGAATATAACTAACCAGTCTTATATTGGCTATAATGTCATACGCACAAATACGTAGTGTCCCTGTAAAATACTGCAAGACACAGTTTATAGTTATCAGGTATTCAACTACTGAAGTACACGATTATGAAAATAAGGTAAATTGATTGATAATCGTGTACACAAAATTGGTCTTCTTAGAAAAAGTAAATGTTCTCCCTTGATCAGTAAACATTTAGTATTTGTGTTTGCTTTCTCTCATGTTTGGCAACTTCAGGTACGGGTATCAACTATAGGGATGAGGTCCTCGCTGTAAAGTTGATCTCGGTGATGTACACCGTAAGTAACTTGACGAAAAAAAGCAGACGAAATTGCCGAGGAGATAAACCTACTTTCAATGTTTACAGATTGAATCGCTTTTAGTGCAATTTTTGTTCAAACAAGATGCAACCACAGCAATCGTTAGCACTTTCCCTAAAATCTTGCCAGTGACGGAAACTTAAAGAAGCAAAAACCTGCTGCTGCATACATATGTTAAGGCAAATTGACTCGGTAATAGCGTTAGCAAGTAGGAATAAGCGCCCTCTAACCACTCTCTACAGCTTTTTTAAAGCGATTTATGTGTATTTATTGCCAACATTAAATAATTTTTTTCATTAAGACTTCATAAAACAGATGGGACGACCTCATTTCGCATCCCGAATATCCTTTGGTTATTTAGGTCATAACAGAGCTCTTTAAAGAATCCATAACACACCGACTTTACCTTCAGGGCAACGCTTCTCCGTGCTTCCTGTGCGATCGGTGAAACTTCGTGTTTTTTTGCAAGCTCAGACAACGGAGGATAAGTCCTTCCGACTCGTAGCAACTCCACAATTTGTCGAACTCGCTTACGCCTGGACATAGTTTGGAACAGTAAGTTGTCGGAGACACGATCGCATTGTATAATTTATGCCCTATTTTCCTTGCAATAGCAAACTCCATACCGTCGTATGTACTCTTTTCGTTCGAGCTTTTAACGCTTAATTTTAATCCTCTAAAAACAGCTTCAGACAAGTGAATTATTAGGTCCTATTGACAGTCTCCGACGGCTGATGAGGCGTAGTCGATGCGGCGAGATTGGCAGTATTCTTGAGGGCCGTGAGCTCTTTAACGGTGATATCTAGCGATTTTTCCAGCCTCCGCCTGAGGATTCCTGCTCACCTTATCAGATTCGCCTATTAAGGATCTTTCGTTGCCAAGGCAGCAAGGTGCTCTCAACCGTCGGCTTTCTCTGGTCGTAACGTCGGCGACCTACATTAAATTAAACACAGAATGAATTTTCAATGATCGGCGTGTATATTATACAAAGTTCAAGGAGAGCACTAGCTCCTTTCGGTTACGTACATCAATTTTTTAAACGAGCAAGCTGATCGTGACAGCTTGCCCTAATCTGATCATTTTGCGTAATAATCATTATTATCTTGCTAATCATTTAGCAATCCTTAGAGCACTTTTTGCTATTTTTAATATCTTTCACGACCGATACTCTGATTTATTTCCCAGGTGATTAATCAAGGTTGTCCTAAATCGGTGATTGCCAAATGATACTGCCGAGAATG